TTGTAGTTTTTACACAATGTTTAAAGTGTGAGAGAAGAAAGAAAACAGATCAACCCAAATGGAGTGGAAACATAAAATCTAAAATATATTTTAGAAAAAATAACCTGTCATTTGAACTTACATTTTTGTAAGCATTTATATATTTCACTGAAGTAAAGAAATTTTTATGAATAAGCAAACAAGAAAATGTTTGTACTTGAACCAGATCATTTTAGCGTTTGACTTAGAACTATGAAGTGATGAAATATTTACGTCTATAAATTCAACAATTTCTCACAAATTCACAGTAAATACGCTCCTTCTAATGAATACCTCCCCAAGTAAAGCTACTTTGATAAAATTTTTATGGTAGCTTAAAAATTTGACAAAACATTTACATAAGTATGTATATAACAATAATAAATTTTATTAATATTTAAATCTCTAGGCGAACAATAAATACTTGATATTTTTAAATAAAAATTTCCCTAAACAATGTGTCATAATGTCATTAGGTAGTAATGTTACATACTTTATGATGGAAAATAAAACTGGAAAAGTTACGAGCGTACATAATAAAATCCAGATTTGACAGTAATTGATTGTTATCAGTCAATATAAACCATATAATAAAGCAGGTTAACAAATAAACAGTTGGCTTACTATCAAAGGCTAGCTTATCAGGTTAATTGAAGTCGGGTTTGTGAAAATTGAGGTTTGTTTACATCGAAACATGTAAACAGTGAATGCGAACCGCCATGCCATGGATATTATTGTAATGAAGCAGCCATATCGAGTGCGATCTGCATTATGAGCGGCGAAAGAGAAGACCATTAAAGTATACATGTTGGATTTTAGGCTCATTTAAATTTATAACCATTCTTAATCCAGTCAGATAATGGAAGACAGTTGAAGCAAAGTGAAAAATTCGCATTAACAAAGCTTTGTAAACCGTGGCATTATGCTCCTCTATCTGAAAACTTTTGTCTTCGGCTTGACGGAACAGTGATACCACAGAGCAATGTGGCATGAAAAGTCACTGAAAAATACGCACTCGATGTTTTCAGGGCGATTGAGTTAACAAACTGTCACTAAAAACCATTATCTGCTATCAAAATTACATCTATCAGCCTCATTAATCGGAATAGCGCGACTCAATCGACGGCAAAGCAGAATTTAACCAGTGATTTACGTTGTACCTTGTCCTTTATAAAACTTTTTAATATTCATGAAGTGAAATTTTACACGATATTAATTAAATACTGTTCCATCCCTCTGCATATTTTTCGGTTAGCTTTTGTTTCACTTGCATTTAAATTACTTTTTAAATTTAAACTTTTGTTGAAAACTAACTGAATGCGAATTAATTTCGCTCTTATTTAAGAAATTTATTCATTTAACCGAGTAAAGATTAACTTAATTTAAAAATTCACTTTGTATTTTTAAAAAACTTCATTCAATTACTTAACGTTCGAACGCAATTTTTTGGAGCGGTGCCAATTTTGAGATGAATGTGAATATTTTAAGGTATTATAGGCGCACAAATATTTCCCATGTGACCTTTCTGTTTTACGATGACAAAGAGAAGTATCTATTAGATACACAAATATTTGCATTTTATCCATGTTTTCAGTTATTTTGCAAATTTATTCGCACTCGCTGAAACGAAATCGATGCCGGGCTTCATTTTTATTTTATTCCTAGCATAAAACGGGCAAATCCGTAACAGTTTTTTACAGTTTTCCTACACGGCGCCCTCAAATGTGTTATTATATCAAATGGTGATTCTGAAAAGCGTCTGCTATAAATAGTCGCTTCTTTTTTAAAAAATGCACGCATTCACTAGACCCGCCATAATTACGAGCATCCACAATCATAAAAGAGGGAAACGTAGAAAATAAAGTTACTTGAAAAGGTCGTTTAAACCATATTGGTAACTAATGAAATTTTTAAGAGCACTAGTCATTCCAATCACGTTTTCAATATATGATAACTTTTAGGAGGGAACTACAGCGATCTTTCTACACGCCACATTAAAAAAACTTAAACTCCTTAACAAACGCAATTAATTTTGAAAAAGCTCTTTAAGCTGACAACAAAGTACTCACATGTTGTCAAATTTGTTGAAATTTTGAACAATGTAATTATGTCCAACATAAAATTTTATTACTTATACTTATAGTGAATTTAATAATGTAAAAATCGTTGAAGTTTTTGCAACAGCTTGATAACATCACCTCCAAAATTTGCATGGTCAATGCTATTCCAGTTTTATAAAATAACATACTCCTGAATTGAAACCACATTTAACGGTAATTCACCTTATGTTTACGTTAAATTAGTACATACTTTATTTTTTAGAAATGTGAAAGAGCACTGTTTGTGAAACAATTGTGATACTAAAATGGACAGATGTAGCTAATGCGATTATCTGAATTTTGTTGGTTTTCAGTCTGTTATTAGTTTCACTACATACTATGTTTATAAATTGCCAGTGAATTCTAATCATGTATACAGTTTAATGTTTACGTTTAGCTATTAAAAAGCTTCGGCACAGATTAACTAATACCAAAACTTAATTAATTCAAACACTGCCTGTATTTAGTTGTTTTTTGATGCGTTCGAGTAATCAGTTTACATTTAAAAGAGTACACAATAACGTAAATAAGTTCGTGTTTGCTGACTGTACTTTTTATCGAGTGATTTTTTAAATTTCTGCTCTAGTTGGCCATGACGTTTACGTAGGCCAACTAGAGCAGAAATTTAAATAATCATACGATATAACAGGTGTGTTTTTAAACTTTACCCTAACACTATTCCCTAACTAAAATCCTCGGTGTGGATCTCCTACGCAAAGCGAAAGTAAGAGTTTTCATCAGATCATTTTATTCTACATTAAATTCGCCACTTGCGTTGGAACATAAAAACTTTTTGCTGTGCAGTGGGACTGTTATTATTACTGAGTAAAATACGCTGTTATGAAAACAGTTAACTCTAATTTTGTACTCCTAACACAGAAATTACTTTCTATAAAAAGCTGTTGAAAGTTTTCTTGTGAATTATGAAATTAAACATGCCAAACAACTAGTTTGGTCAACGGAATATAAAGATGTGCTACCAATTATCTCACCACAAATTTTTTTCTTAAATGATAAGCTGACAAATGTCATGTTTATTAACATTTTAATTTACACTGAAATCTAATTATCTTGGTCATTATTTTGACTTAAAAAAACTGGAAATTTAACTGGAGCATTAAAATATATTAGTCTATAGACTACAAAATTCAACCAGTTAGTGAATAAACGGCTGTAAACGATATACAGCATTTACAAATCGTTCACGATTTACTGCTTCGTAGACCTACTAACTAACCGACATCAGAATTAAAAATTCAGGCGATCAATAGCCGCTGAAACTCAATAGCAAATACAGTGACTCTTGTTTTAAAATTTCATTGTTTAATCTGATTTAACAGTTTATGAAAATTCGTATATCCATTAGCAATATTTTTTAATGATTTTTAATACAGTGTACTTGAAATGTATGAAATAAATTCAAAAAATGGAGAATAAAATTTCGCTTTGTTTCTTTTTAAAACAGAAACTTTAATTTTTGATATTTTTAAATAAGAGAAAGAATGAAATAGAAGCAGAAATGTTTTCAATTAACAAATAAAAAATTTCCATAGCCGACAAATTTTCTTGGCTTCAGTTTTTGAACCTCTAAAGTAGTTGTCATTGTTTAGTTTAATCGATGCTAATTTTTTTTATTTTTTCATATTTATTTACCTTTGGCCACTTTTAGAAAATTCTAGAAAAAATCTTGAGACAAACAAAACATATTCATTATTGTTAGATTTCATGACACCTGTCTTGTCTCATTTTGTTCGTTGTCTATTTTACAATAACTCAGTTTCTAGGAAAGCTATATGTGCCAGACGCGACGAAGGAATTGAACTACGTAACAAATACATCATTACTTTACCACGTCACGGATGAATTTAGTAGTGAAAATATTAGTCTATTAAAAAATAAATTACGCTACGGCAAAGAAATCCTGCCAAGTTTCTAAATTAGCTTCTACGATTTGTGAATCGAGATTTGTTTACTTAAATGTTATTACCCGACTTTCTCTCTTTATTGCAACGTCGTTGAAAGACTGTATTTTTAATAGTCTGTGGCTGAATACCAGCTCGAAGTTTCCACCTTTATTTCGGTGATCATAATGTGACAGGTTTTTCACCGTCGTGCAACACGAGATCTTTTTTGGACCAGAATACGCTCATTTCTTTGCATTTTAACAAGCCACATAAACATTTATTTTTAGAAAAAAAAGCTTCCAAACAGTGCATCTGTGAAACGTTTCAATTCGGCATTGTTGAATGTGCCAGCTTGGCTCGTCTTTTGTAAAGGTTTTTAACTAGATGAATTCAAATCTCTTTGATTGTTCACTAATTCCAGTACCAGTGGAATCGTTAGCGAGCTCTTTCTGCACTAATTTAAATTTAAATAACTAATTTTCCGTTCTAATTACCCTTTGTGCTGGTCACTATTTTGGCTCTCACCCTTTCAGAGTGGCAATGCATACTCTATTGATTCCGTCATCTCTTTATGCAAACCTCGGGATTTATTCGGCTTTTGACAGATCAAATGCGTGTGGAAGTACTTTAGAGGCATTTATGAAGTCCTCAGCGACGACGAGTTTTGAGCACGGTCAACGCGAAATTCATCACCGGACCTGTTTACGTCAAGCAAACAATAAATATAAATTCTATCCAATTAACAGTTCCCTCGTTCCGCAATATTTCAAAGTGAAATCTTTGCAGTTCGTCTAACTATCGAAGGGCAACAACAACCCTACGACTGAAAAAAAATCGCCTCTCAAAAGTCAACTTTCTAGAAGTTTTTATGAAATTGTCAGAAACGCTGAAAACTTCCTCTCCGAAAATAACCTGCAGTGTGCAACAAGCACCGTCTTCAAACAGACAAACAAAACGAAAACATTGTCTACAAACGTACCTGAAAGAGGGAAAGCTTCCAAGCATATTCGTGTTACATGAAAAGGAGTGTAAGTGAACGGCGCTTGTCAAAAAAGAAACCGGCAAATCTCCTCGTGGACTTCGCCGCTACTATGCAGAAGCACGTCACGACGCCCTGGAGCACGAAAGCACAGTCGACGTCGTCGGCGTCGGTCCGGGACTGCCTGGGAAACTGAGCGATGCAGATTTTCCTTCGCGTAACGCATGCGTTGAGTCCATGGGTTTCGGAAGGTTTTTTAACATCTCTTGTACCTGTTTTTATTTCGTTCGGTAACTGGTGGTCTTTTAGACAGTGATAGGTTAGCGTAAATACGGTGTCTTGCGGTTGGCTTTCTTAACGGTCGTGTTTTGGATGTTGTTACGCACGAGAACATTTGTTTCTTTGTCAATCGCAGCTTTTAGGAAAGTTAAGCGCACCTGTCTGATCATGATTTTTCGTTGTTACAAATTTTCCGAAAGAACGGAACGATTATTTGTACGGGCTTGAGTCAAGTATGCAAATAAAGACCTCTCAAAGAAATGAATATTCAACAGACCCGTGATGATTTCTTTGATTCCTTTGAATTCAATTCGATGAGATCGCTGAGAGGATTGATAGTTTTTTCTTAATCGAATGCTTTAGACATTTTATCGAAGAGGTAGTTTTTGTTTTTATGCAACCAGCGACATCTCGAACAATCAAAAGCTAGTAGTAAGTTAATGAATAGAATGTATATTAAGTCTGAATTAAAATTACGTCAAAAACAGCCGAAGATTAGAAGAAGTTTTTAGAGTTATTTACACAAAACTTTTTGCCCCTCTAAAAGAAAGTTAATGAGTTTTTTCAAAACAATATCATACTTTTTTACGTATGAAAAAAGAGGTGCCCCGTTGCTACTGGACCGATGTCTACTATTTAAATTGTATAAAATAACATACCTCTGTACTTGTGTTTTATGAATCCGCCTTGAGTTACCCCTAGTTTCAACCGCTTTTAGTTCAGATGGGTGAAAGTCGTGGGTTCGATCCCCTGAAAGAAGTAGTAGTCTCTTTTACATTGTGACCGGTATTCTAAAAAATTGCATTTGATAGTAACTATTCCATCTCCGTTATTGATTTCATTTGTACATACCCAAATAATTTTGTCTATCAGAAAAGGCTGTTACTGTATTTTCCATTGCTATTTTATTCTACCGGCTGCGACAATTTTAATTTCAAACAAATTAATTATGTGTGCCTTATTCTGATTTTTTGTTCTTACAAATTTTCAAATAGAACCGATCAAATTATTTATACAGACTTGACAAGAGTAGACGAGTAAGAGCTTTCAAAGAAATGAACACTCAATAGTCCCGTAATGATATGTCTCCTTCCTTTGAATTCAATTCGATGAAATCGCTGCAAGAGAACAGGTAGGTTTTTCATTTTTCTAGTCAATTGGACAGCTTATCGAAAAAAATCACTTTTATTTTTAAACAATGACAATAATTTTGATTAATTAAAAGCGACTAGGAATTACTAACAGAGTATTTTAAGGAAATAAATCGGAATAACTCTGTGGAACATCATGCATGTAATTTAACTACATATATTGTAATAATCACGTTTGATTAAAATGTTTTGCTTATTTTTACTTCCCGAGCGTAAGCAAAAGAAGTATTGTAATCGAGTCCGTCGGCCGACTCTCTACTTTGACGTTTTCTCGATCGTTCATGACCCCTAGAGTACGAAGAAATAGGTCTCCCGTTTCGGTCTCTCTGTTTGCCGTGACGGATTTTTATTAGACAGATGATCTCCGAAAGTACTATGCCGATTGTTGTCAAATTTTGTATTTATATTAGAAATATCATGTAGATCGTAAAACGCTAACCAAAATTTGTCTAATCATCCGCACCTATAATGTGATAACGTCACTTCAAAATTGTACATAGTAAATGTAGTTTGTGACTCCGTGTTGAGTTTTTACTCAAAACGTCAAAATTTTTGGAAAAAAATAAAAATTAGGTATAAAACAACATTTTGCAGTATAATTATGCATCTTCAAACCGAAGGCTTTGAAATCTTGCAGATGTTTTAAGGTTGTGATAGGCATGATAAATTTGTAATCAAAATATATTTACTTATCCCCTTCAAAAAATATATGACGTCAGCTCAAAATTTTGCCAATAAATCCTATCTAAAACGTACAAAATAGGATGAATCTGTACTTGTGATTTATTATTTCATTTATATTTTTTGGATTTGCTTATACAGGGTGACAAAAAATACTGAATGCTTGAATTTATTTTAAGGATTTAATCAGGAATTACAAAATCGAATACCTTGAAATCTTGGATATGTTTTAAAGTTATCATGAACATGGTACATTTTTTATCAAAATATATTTGCACATCCGCCCTAAAAAATTGATGACGTCACCTCAAAATTTTTCTGAACAAATCCTGTCTTAAATGTGCAAAGTATGATAAGTCAATACTTATGATTTATCCCTGCATTAATATTTTTTAGATTTGCTTATACAGGGTGTCTTAAAAAAATTAATGACTGAGTCAGTTTATTTTATTGTTTAAATCAAGAATTGCAAAACTGAATACTTTGATATCTTGCAGACGTTTTAAAGTCATTGTAAGCGTGGTAAATTGTTAATCAAAATAAATGTGTTTATTTCTCGAATAAATTCTACCCAAAATGTGCAAAATATGATGAGTTTTTACTTGTGATTCATCATTGCATTCATATTTTTTATTGATCATATTAAGAACGAGTTAATCAATTTTCCCGAAAATGTGAAAATACAACGGCCTTTATTTAAAAAGAATTATAATAATGAAATTCAGAACATTTTGTTGATTGTAACAAATTACTTAATAGTTTTGATCCTCTGTTTTTAGGGGACGAACTCATTCAAATCAAACAAATTTCTACGTGACATTCTTTCGATGCATAAACATAAACACTTTCAAGTTGTTTTTCTTATCACGGATAACCTAAGGACGTACAATAATGGAATCAGTCGGGCAATTTGGTACTTTCATATTTTCTCGATATTTCATAACCCCTAGACGAGGTCGTAGCGAGGGGGAGGCTCTATATTTAAATCTAGACAAGTTATAATTAATCAAATGTGAATTACAACATCGAAAATCAAAATAAAATGTAATGTTTTATTCAATAAACGGAAGTCAGAGCAATAAAAAAGTCTGGACCGTCGGCATTGTGATCCGGTTATTGCAATTCGCAGAAAACATCTTTTATTTTCTGTTTTACTCTCACGTCTAGAGGTTGATATGTGTTATCGATATTTGTCTTAAATACCATAAATGCTTTTCAGTTCAGTCTTCAGTCGCACCTCTGTTATTACATACGGCAGACGTGATTAAATTGTTTCGTTATTTTATTGATTATAAATCACGATTCAAAAATAATAATACAATACATTTATTATCGGTATTACAATAGATCTATCCAAACTGATATATGCGTCCTTGCAAAAATGTGGATAATATCAACACAAAATTTTGTAATAGAAGAACTCACTTGTAAGAAACAGTTAACACGTTTCTTTATCTTTACTCAAATATTAGGTACATATTTTTATTTTAGCTTATAATGGTTGCCATAAAAAACAATAGAATTCGCAAAATCAAATCTTTTATTTTTTCGAAAGAGCTGGATTTGATAAGTTTTGATGGACGAGGGAAGTTCTGTCGAAGTAATCTTCGACTAAATTTTTATAATCTATGTTGAGATAAAATATTTCCTTATATATGATTTTTGCTTCTTCGTTTTTAGTTTACCACTTTCACTGTATCAACGCCTGTACATTATATCTTCAAGTCTTCATTTATTTTGTGGTAACAGACTTTTATTCATCTTTACACTAATTTGTATCTACTGAAATATTTTTATCTATAATATCACCGCGATGATCATAATAATAATAATAATAGTTTTGAATGACTGTAAATACTAGAACACAATGTTGAAATTTGCAAAGAATTATGCAGACTCTAAACAAAAATACGCAATTTGTCTATCTTTTCGACGTTTATTTAACCTTAGCAGTATTATATGGCGTCGGAAGTCGCTCAAAAATCTCCAAAGGCGTTTGGAATTGTTCGAAAAACTTCGGAAAGCGCTGGGAGCGTTCGGAAATAATTAAATGAAGTCGACGGAAAATCTTCAGCAAAGGTGGGACTATCGGTCAGACGCGAATCGAAAGTCACTAACCACTTCTAACGGCAAAGTTCTTCGCAAGAATTCTGGCCCTACGTGGTCATACAATTTAGCCAATACAGCTTAATTAATAAATGAGACCAATAGCATTTTTCGCTGAGATGTTTATGATTGACAAGAAGTCTAAATTTTGTAAAAATTTTAATATTTAACGTATTTGATGCGATTTTACTCTGCATCGGAAGTTTATGTTTTATTATTCCAAAAACTATGCATTTCACGTGAATTTATCTAGAAATATTTATAATCGTTTTCGTTTTAAATAATACGTACCTAACTCTTTTCCTAAGTAAAATAGTCAGTCCTTGTAGTAGAAGAAAACTCTCGGTGAAACTAAAACACGAACTAGTATTTTCGATTTTTTTACGAGGCGCACCTGATTTACCAAATCATTCGAGACCACGAAAATGCTTCGCCAACAATACAATGTTTTTACAATAAAATGATTTCATATAATTAACTTATATTCAATTCCCTTATTGTAACAGCATTCTTTAGCAAAAAACAGCACTAAAGGGGGAGAAAGCTACGATGGAAAGATAGCTCTCTTATTTTGTGAAAGCATTAATAATTTATCAAAGAAAGATTTTGGAAAACAATAAATACATAACAAAAAAATGTTTCTGTGTTTACAGTTCAAGCCTTGAAAGTGTAAAATTAAGCAATTTTAAGAATAGCGATTTGTGATCGATTTCAAAAACGAGTAGCAGAAAACATAAATGCCATTTTATCATTAATATGGCGTTTTGCATAAAAATGTTGCTGCAACACGTGCCGAAAACGTTACATCTGGCCAAAAAAACATTGTCGTGCGCCAAATTGGCGTATTACTTAGACAAATAACTACAATACTTTAGCCAATATCTTGAAAATAACAAGTTTTTGGGTTTGCTGATAGTCGTTCATCGGCTAGTCTCCAAAAATAACTTCTGTACTTA